TGAGTTATCTTTCCAATACATTTTAAATCGGCTTAATCGGATATCGAAAACAAAAGTTATGATAAAAATACTCAAGCAGCCTCAGCTTAACAGCCGACCTTTTCGGTCGTTAACAGCCGATTTTTTCGGCTGTTAACATCCGAATTTTCAGCTGTTTGTGCTGATAATTTTTTTCGTAACAGTAGTTTTATTTGTTAACTAAAAGGGTAGTATTATCTTTTTAACACAAATATGTTTTGTAATTGTTTTAGTCACTTAAGGGCGTTTTTATCTTTTTACAGCAAATGGATCATTTTGGAAATATTGTTAAGTAAAAAAGTTAAAATGGAATTATGGGGCTTTGATTAGGTTATTTTTACAAGAACCCCCTAATTATATAGGTTGAACATTGATGTATGATGAGATATATGAGAATAAAAAAGAGATCAATTATGTTCTTACAAAAATGGTTTTACTTGACGTGAAATTTGTTATTTCGAGAGTAGAGTACAATAATAAAAGTCTTCGAACTTTTAGGTAATTGTTCTTTTGAACAGTTGTTCACCGTTAGATTTTGCCAACACATTCCCTACAGTTTTCGTTATACATAGTCTATCTAGTTTCGAAATTGCACTCAATAGTCAATCAATTCGGGATTTTTTTTTTTTATATTGCGTATCGTGCTGCTTGTTCTTCTTCTTCTTCCTCTCTTACCTCCCATGTCCGCAATCGAAATTTCTCCATTTTGCTCAACCCTCCAATCGTGGCGACAATAATCTTGTGGTAACGAAGTAGAACTTGAAATGTTGGCCACGACTTGTAAATCAAATTAGGTCCCTGTTTGGTAATGATTAAATTAATCTAAATCAAATTCAACACTTAATTTTAATCACATATTTTATGGATTCCTCAACTTTTCAACCATATATTATACTAGTTTCTATCAAAATTTACTAAAAATTGATTTAAATCTGTATCAAACATGGACTAGATCTCCCCCCAGTTATCATGTCTACCGACGTCGTTTTGAATTGAGTTCTTGGGTTGTGCCCTAATTACATGCCATATTGTCTCTGTGCAAGTATTTTTCATTTTTATCAACCATCAAATGGGCTAGATTCCTATTTTTGTTTGAGGAAATTACACCTACACTTAAAATTAGGTTTCCAATTTCACA